GGTTGAAAGAAAGTAAAGAACTTACTCAGGATCAAGATAGCCAACTGTTCCAGCAGGACGAGTTGAACATGACTATCAATATCATTTGCAAAAGCTCTTGACATTCCAAAATCAGCAATTTTAGCTTCCATATTTTCGTCCAACAAAATGTTGGTGGTCTTTAGATCTCTATGCACTATGCTGGCTTACAACCGTTATGCAAATATTCCAATCCTGCAACTCCAACCAAACAAATTTTGTATTATTGTTGTCTAGAGTGCTATTATATAGAATATATTCACTCTTTTTATTAAAAAATATAAGGTATTTTTAATTAAATTTTACTTTCAATAAAGTAGTTATTATTTTTAAATTAACCTTATCTTTTCATATTTACCTCTATTTAATAGGATGTTCCATCATAAAATAAATATAAAGTGATTTATTTAAAAAGGGTACTTTTGAAAAAAAAAGATAATGATTCCACTTTTAAAAATTAAAAATACCTTATATTTTTTAATATCCAACTACTAAAAAAATGTCTTACTTTTTTTAAACGAAGGAGTATATATATATATATATATATATATAAGCAAGACTTTTCGAAGAAGAATGAATTTGAACCCTAGCCTCCAAATTAATAATATCGATTTGTAAAAGGAAAATATAATTTTGAATAAATTTTAATGAAGTCATTTGCAATAAAAAAACTATTAATCTAAATATAAAACAGGTGTTTGAATATTTTTTGAAAAATATGATTTTGGATTCATAATTAATTTTAACATAATAACAGGGGTGTTTGAATATATTTTCACAAAACTATAGTTTTATTTTATTTTGAATTCTGTTTTTCAATTTTACTTTTCAATTCTAATTAAAATCAATCTTATTAATCAGCTTTATAAATCAATTATATATCATATAATATAATTAATTATATCCAACCAAAATCTAAACACACCCTTAATTTTTATATAATCTAGACAATCATAGTCTATTTAAAATAAGATATCTTTTTCTATATACAAATAAATATATGCAATCATATAAAAGATATGCTCGTATAGTTTTTCTTACCACAGGCTGCGTCCAATGCAATTTGAAGCCTATTCTTCCACTTCAAGGCACCTCCATCGTTACCTACATAACTAGAATAATGAGATTTCTTTTACATACGCCTCCAAAAGTTTCTCAGCGAATTAAGACCGTCTTGTCACTAGAAAATTAAATGCAATACGTGTTTGGTTAGAATTATTAAAATGGCTCAACGATAACCGACGTTTATTTTCATACATGTTTTGAAAGCATGTCTAATCTAGATCTTTGATTAAGAAAGATTTCTACCAGATAAATGTCGACGGAGGTCACCATTAGCCATATACTCATAAATTAATGCCCGCACACCTCTTTCTTCACAAAATCCAATCAGAGAAACTAAGTGTCTATGATGAACAATCATCAAAAGTTCCACCTGCAATTCAGATTTAACTTTGTCTACTATATGAGATTGGACTAATTTAGACCTATGTCTCATAAAACATACATGGCATCATCCACAGATAATAAGCAAATTAGGAAAAATAGTAATGAAGGACCACTAAAGGAAATTTATATCAGTTAATGAATATTTGTTGTCAACATCCAAATGAAAAAAAAAAGTTTAAATGAACTGTTGTTAAGTTAGAATAAATTGTTAAAACTTGAAGGGATACTTATTGATAAAATACTAACCCGAGTCGATAAGTATCCATTCGAGTTTTGACAATATTCCTTGACTGATATAAATTTCCTCCAACGGTCCTTGATTAATATTTTCCCAGCAAATTAATTTAATTATTGGATTTCAACCTAACCTCTGATCGAAATTCTCTATGACCTTGTACTGATGATTGAGAAAGTAACTTCACTGCAATTTGAATATCATTCTTAAGCGTTCCTGAATAAACTTTTCCAAATCCTCCTTCCCCAATCAAGTTTTGTAAGTTATTAGTGACCACAAGAACCTCAGGGTAAGAAAATGCTCGATTTCTTAGTTTCATTGAATCTCGCTCAGTAAGATCCCCTACAAGTATGAATAAATCAGAACACCCGTTAAGTGTGTATAATTCAACAACAAGAAGGTATGATCGTACTAAGTGGCGTGTGCTAATATGTGTATAATTAATTGGAAAAATAAAGATTACAAAAATGTTGGCAATGTTAAAAATTCGGACTTTAGCGTTCAGTTGTTTTCCCTAACCATTCCAAAGGGAATTATTGGTCATGCAGGGTAAGAAAATAATTTTTAATTTCAAATCACTAAGATGTGACCTTTTGCGTGCAAAAAAATTGCGAACATTGAGGGGGGGGGGGAGCAAAAGGTTCACAGGGAATCTTTGCAAACCTTTCAGTTTTTTCATTCTTCTGAGGATCCATATTCCTAAAATAACCAAGATTACAACAATAATCAAAGCCGAAATAGATGCAATAAGTGGAATGACGAACTTATGCTTCTTGCATGGATCCCTCCAACAAAGACCAGGATTATCATCCAAACTGCATGATAGGTCAAATAATAAGTTAGCATTAACAATGATTTAGTAATTGCATTTTTATTAATAATAATTATTAATAGTTTCCACCAATTGACTGAAAACAAGGGTCAATGCATAAAACTTGCTCCGCCACCAATGAACATGTCCAGCTCAATCACATTAAAATAGTCGATTGATATTAGTTCCGCGCAGCAAAAAAGAAAAAAAAAGTTTTTATTCAATTCTCCGAAAAAAAAAGCCAATTACAATTGAGCAATTAGGATTTATTAATAAAATTAAAAACCTCATTTCCAAGTCTGACTTGTCTTCAAGAGCCTTGGGAACTGAACCAGTGAGCTTGTTGCTGTTCAAATTACTGCAGTAAACAATGAGAAATATTTTCACTTGGTGTATGTTGAAGTTATTAAGATACGTGGTTCATAGCAGATATTCCTAAACAATATATAACTCAACTTACAGTAGAGTCAACTTTGGCAATTTAGCTAGAAACTCTGGTATTGATCCTGATAAGTCATTACCTGACAAATCCCTAAAACAAAGCAATATTTTACACATATAACTCAGACACAAATTTTTTTTCCCAATCAAAGCACTATGTATATACTTACAAGGACTGTAACTCAGTAAGTTGTGAGAATGAAGTAGCTATGTGTCCTGTTAACTTGCTCACACTCAGGTTTCTGCATGTGATAAAGATCAACAAATACTAATTTAGGTAGGAGATTATGATTTTTTTCGCAAGTATATCTTAACTAATAATTGATCACATTAGAGTATTAAACACCTAATCTGTAATAAGGAGTGGAACTAATCTGACAGTTAACATAACGTATTAAGAAATGCTCATGTATGCTCCTTCTGATTGTTATTGTAAGGCACATTTTAAAAAAATTCTTTGGCTTTTAATGTAAGACACTTGATAGTTAATAGGAGGCATTAATTATGTTTTTCCAATATTACCTCTAACTATGAGAGAAAATATAATACAAATTTCAAAAATATTCATTTAAATATGGATAAGATTGAGACTTTATTTTATTTTCAGATAATATCTATAATTTAAATCACCTCTCATTAGTTTCAGTGATCTAGTTATATGTGCCTTATAATAGGGATTGTAGGGAACATGTCACTCTAACTAACTTATCAAAATCAAGAAGTCAGGAGATGGTTAAACCATTGATACTATCTTAAAAAGAAGAAAATCTCCCAATTTACAGTTATTTGATGCATTATCTTTATTTTTTCTCTCATATAACTTTCTACTCTCAGCGCAAAAAATTGTTAAAGGATAAAATTTTAAAAAAATAATTAATGATTCACCTTTTTATACCAATAAAAAAAATCATAAATTCGTTTTATAAGTTGACTTACAGGCATCACGGGAAGGAGTATAGCTCTACCTTCTTACGTTAATACAAAAAGGAAAGTACTTACAGCGAGGTGATCCTTGCGTTGGAGTCATCGGTGCCATAACTGCAACCAACTCCCTCCCACGTATATTCCTTAGGAACACATGGGTCGCCTTGTCGATTTACTTTGGAGATTTTGTAAGTGTTAATGATGTCCTCAACGGCATCCACTATCATTAATAATAATAATAATAAATAGGGTCTTAGAAGTTAAAGCTAAAACAAAAATATATAGAAAATGAAAGAAAAGAGAAGCATACCATCTCTTTGGTCTGTCGGCGAAGTTAGTGGATATATTAATCTGTAAATCTCAAGGGCATTGAGGATTGGAGGAGCATCAGAATCTAACGATGCACTTATGGTGAATTGAAGATAACTTTGATTTGTAACAGCAATAACTGTTTGTGGCTTTAAGTATTCAAGAGTTATAGGCTCTGGGAGGACGTTTTCGTCATTAACAGTAATATCAACTGCTCTTTTCTTCCCAGGACCAAGCTGCCTGATTTCAGCAAAGTGAAAGTAGACATAATACTTGAAAGACTTTTCAAGAGCAGACCACCCGGTAGAGTCATAATCAAAGTATAAAGGAGAGGAGCGATTCAATGATTGGGCTGCAGACTGCAACACTTTTGTTGGTAACTTATATGAATCATTCGTGTTTCCAGGATCAATATCTACTGATGTGTTTAGCGGCTTCCAATCCGCTCTTAAAACGTCAATGCTCTTGCGCCACACACGATCATATATGTCATCCATGTACCTGTATGCTTGAGAATGAACTTGAGAATTGCTTCCATGTATCTATTGTTGGGCCTGGTGAGCATCCTGAAAGCGGATGGAACACAGCTAGACCCAATACTTTTAAGAGTTTATGATACCACATCTTAACATAAAATCTTAAGACATTGAATTTGTATGAGTCTTTTTCACTTATATTTATAATCTTTTCCAACTCAACTCTATCTGAGATAAGATTTTTTATCTCATATCAAGCCAAGTTAACTTACACTTAATGTTTCAACATGTAGACGGAAAGCATGCATAAATAACAAGGAACTATAAAATACAAAAATTAAAGGCACCTGCTGTGCGTGACCAAACTGGTGGAGCCTATATCAAGACTTGCTTGATGGTCCAAAAGTGATTGATGAGAAGGGGACAGAGTTGGATAAATAGAATTGCTGAGAGGTCGAAGTTCCAGTGTAGAAATGAAAGGTATTCCTTTGCCAGTGTTGAGAAGGCAAACGTGTATGGTGTCGGTTGTGGGACTATGGATAATCTCTTTATAGTCATAATAATTATCTCCCAAATCAACAGTTGACCAAAAAGTGACTCCAAGGTATAAGTCAAAAGTTGGGGTTTGATTTTTGCTATCATAATTTCCATAAGAGAAGAAAGCTCTGATGAGGTATTTGTTGTGTTCACCCTGTTTTGGTTTTAGGGTGTAGCAATTCCTTTTTCCTTCGGAGAAACTTCTCAACGTTTGCAGTTGTCTCCCAAAATAAAGATAATTCAAGTCAGATCTGGATGCCGATTCAACCATATGATTTGTTCCAGTTTCCACAAAACTCGTATCTGTTTGATACCAGATTCCAGTTTGTGTGTCAGTGTATTCATTGCTTGCTCCACAGTCAATGCTTATGAAATCTGTGCGTGTAAAAAGTTGATACAATATTTAGATATTTTAAAGCATGTGGCGGATATGGTTGGTTTTATATACATTGAAGTGTGAAGAAAAGCTTGTTTAGCAGTATTGAAACACTAGTTTGGACAAAAGGCGGTAACAAATCAAACGCTTTAACGAGCTGAAAGCATAAAACATTATCTTACATAAATTCTGGGCTCTTACCAGGGTGAGTGTCATCGTTTGTGACGAGTAATTTCCTTCCATCTATTACTGAGTCACCTAGTTTAAGGAAAATTTGGATTAAGGAGAACCATAAAATCCATTGCAGTGTCTTCTCCATGTGATTGACCTGTTGCATTATTATATGAAGACCCTATCTCTAGCTCGTATTTATTATATTATAATATTATTAATCTTACATAAAAGAGTAACAGTTAAATAGAAGATTAAGGGGAAAAAACAATAGAAATGAACTCGCCTGAAGCTTGAGATCTCAAATTCAAACCAACAGGAGCAGCGCGGTATGAGTGCTGTGTAGTAAGGTATTTTGGGTGAAGGCGTGTTTATATAAGAAGTTGGAAAGTAGTTTTAGTCTATGGTAGTTGGAGTTGACTTGTCATTGATTACTTGGTTGACGGTTAAAAGGAGTTTTAACTTTTAAAATATTAGTATTAGTAATTGCTAATTTCTTGTGGCCCGCCTTTTCAAATTGCAATACTTTATCTGTTCTAGTTTCACAATGTGATATTTTGACAAAAATAATAGTTTATTAATTATATTTGCTTCTCATTATATTTTCTTTTTTATTTAATATTTCACAGATAAAGTTATATTAAATGAAGTGTATTTTTAAAAATTTATACTTATATTTTAAAAATATAAGATTGTAAAGTATATATATTAATTAATGAACTTTAATGATATATGTAACTTTGCCAAATGAATATTTTATAAACTGGGACACGACGGAAGTATAACCTTTTAGATATTACCGAAGTATTTTATCCCAAAAAAATTAAAAATATTCTCTTGATATTGCTAAAATTAGTTCTCATAATATTTATAAGATATTTTAGACAAAATCACACATATTAATAACAGTTAATGCTCATTTTTATCCCCTCAACTTTTCCCTAAAGGTTAAGGCACTCTATACTCAAATGAAGGTCAATTTTGTCTTTAAATATTACAAATTCACGCCCTTATCACCGTATCATTTTCTCACCATCTTTTCATATTTAGGGGGCCTTACATTACATTTTTTAATTGTTTTTATCATAAAATATTTAAGTTTAGGGTGCTTACTAATTCCTTGAGATAAAGTTAAAAAATAAAAATAATCTTTAACTCAATATGTTATAATAAAAAATATTTAAAAATGCAATGTGAAGTTCGCTAATGATAAAGACATTAATATTAGGGGTACCAAAAAAAATAATTTCTAATGTTAAGGGATATAATAGACCCTTAGTTGAGTTTAAGGTACCCACTGATTTTTAAAGTAAAATTAAGAGATAAAAATAACCATTAATCCTACGAATAAAGCTAATTAAATACACTTTAAAATCTTATTTTGTTAAAACAAAAAATATGAACTTTTAAAAATGTTTTTTTATTTAATACTTCATTTGTAAAAGAATATTAAAAAAGAGAATATAAATGGAAGGATAAATAGAAAAAGCATAATTAATGAAACCTTATTTTTATTAAAATATTTTATATTTTAAAAGCCTTAATACGATGCTTAGTAGGAAAGAAAAGTAAGGGGGAGAGAAAAATAAGAGGGAGAAGTGGGGGAAACAATATTTCCCCTTGTTTGGCTACAAAAAAAAAAAAAAGTGAAGGGAGGAAAAAAGTGAGAGAAAAATAACATGTGAGACCTACATATTTTTACTTCTAACTTTTCTCTCTAAATATGAGGAAATTTTGGAGAGAAAATTTCACTTTTAAATTTATCCATCAATTTTTTTTGTTGATACCCTTTGCTTTCCTTTATTTTTATCATGATATTTATAATATAGTTACATTTTGATTATGAACTTTTATTAAATAAGCAGTATATTTAATTTTTAGATTAATTAAATAAATGCTAACTCTAAATTTTCAAGTTAATTTTTAGTTAAATACCTTATATTTGGTTGTAGTTTCAAATGTTCAGATTATTATATATTAACATAATTTTTAATTATGTTTTTGTTCAGTCAATAATATAAGATAAAAATTATTATATATATATAATATGTTAAAATATCAAAATTTTTATTATATAAATATTTTTATAAATAATAACATTATTATTGTCCACATAAAATTAATAAATTTTCTCTTCTTTTTATTTTTTCTCACTCAATCAAACATAATGAGAGAAAATTATAATTATCTCATTTTCTCTCTTTTTATTTTCCTTGCGAGCCAAGTATAAAATAAATTTTTTCAAAAAATATTTTATAATTTGGATGGAAGTAATATGTATTTTTTATTAATTTTCTGCTTTTCTATTAAAATTTCAACACATCAACTTTTAATATTCATCCATCTTCAACGCAAAGACGTGGGTAGTTGGCTGATGCCGCTTATGAAGAACAAAGTCTAAATACATTAATTAATTAATGCGGTCGGCTGGGTAGGTACGGCAACGTGGACTCTGAGGAAATTTCATTATTTCGAATTTTCTTGCAGGGGCGGAACCAGGATTAAAAATGAGGGGCCAATTTTTTTTAAATGTATATTTAATTTTTAAAAATAATTTTATTATTTAAAATATATTATTATATGATAATTATTGGAAGTATAATTACATAATATTTTAAGAAAACTGAAAAGATAATACAAGATACCATATATCTAAATAACTAAATTATATATATATATATATATATTATTTTTGTTAAAATATATTTCTTCTAATCCTATTTATAAGTTACTCCCAGCATTTTCACTGGAATAAAAAAAAACTTTAAACCTTATTAACTCTGTCTAAATATTCAATAAATTTTTAATTTTATTCTTATTAAATATACATACTTTAAAAATAAAATATTATAGCGTTTAATAATATTTTCAACATTTAATATAAGCAAAAGGAAAAAATAGACACAATAATCATCAATAAATATAATCAAAACAAGCATTCTCTCTCTGCCTTATAGTAATAAAAGAAATATATGCATATTGTATTATATACCTATAATACCTATAAGCATATTTCTATAAATAAGTAAGATGAAGTGCCGCTTTGTTTTAATAAAAACAAATTTGTATGAGTATATATACTTAAATTGTGTTTAAGGGGCTGGGATGTGTGGTGGTGGGCCGGGATCCGTCCCTGACTTAAATGATCCCGGAAAGTTTGAGTCGTCAAGTCAATTTGCCGTGCTTGTGTCTTATATTTTTGTTACATGCATGATACTTTTCTGAGCACCACAAACACGCTAAATTATAAGAGGCTAGAGAAAATTCAAGAGACCTGTTTGACACCCTCTAGAATCAATTACGGGGATTCAAAATTGTAGTTTTGAAAAAAAAAATCATTCAAATACTCTCATTTTTTTAAAATTTTATTTAGTTTTTGAAAATGTATTTTGTTGAAACTAACCAAGTACTTTGGGAGTATTTGGTTTTCGATTTGCAAAATTAATTTTAAAAAAATCTTATCCGTTAATCAATTTTTTTCAATTAAAATTCAAACACGCGAAGGCTGGCCTTTTTCATTTTAACATTAATGGTGGAAATACAAATCTCCATGACCGCAAGGTTGGATCTTCATTCTTCACAGATCATGTTTTTTTTTTTTTTTTTTCGTGGCCGGGCGCCAAAATATGGGTTATTATTCCTTCCTTTCTTTCGTTTTTGTCAACGGGTTATTCATTTTCTTTGATAGTGTCAAATTGAAAGAGCTAGAGAGAGGTTAATAGTTCTTTATTTTGATTTTGGAAAAATCAATCAGCTGATCATATGATTTTTATCAATTTAAATTAAATCCTTGTAACTTATTTTGTTTAAAATTTTAAATTGAGATTTTATAATTTGACGAGTTACATCAATCAATATTTGAAGATTAAAGGCGTTAATGAAGGGATTGATTTTCTCAAAGTAATTAATTTTTTTAATTTTAAAAAAAATTGAATTGGTACTTTTGAAAAAAATGATTTGTTACAATGTTTAAATTTTTTACGAAAATTATATATATATGAATTATTTAGAAGACAACTTAAATATTTTGTTTTAAATTTTGGCAAAAAAAAATTTTTTTGTCTTACTGTGATATTCATTTATTTTTTTAATTTTAATTTTAATATTTTATGCAATTTTTTGAAAGGATGTAATTGTAGAGTCTAAAATTTAATACTATATCTTGTGGTTAAATTAATTTTAAATTATAAAAATTATGTAATTAATTCTAAAGTTATATATTCAATTATTAATTAAAAATATAAAAGTGCTTAAATTTAAGGATTTGAATCTTTAGAGATTAACACATCTGACAGAACAAAGCTCAATTTAAACACAATAAATTATAGAGATTTAATTTAAAATTTAAAATATTATAAAGACTTAAATATTAATTTTCCCATGTTTTTCCGGTGCTATTACACTTAGACAATAAATTGTGGAAGTTTCGAATAATTAGCATTATTTTGAAATGAATGAGCTGGCTCAAATATGAAATTATTAATTGAATCAAAGTCGCCAACTTGGCCAAAAAGAAGAAAACATTGTACTCTTTTTTTTTTTTTTGCCAGAAAAACATTGTACTTTAGTGACGCGGATAGATGCCTCTTCACAAAGTCACCAACTTGGCCAAAAAGAACGTAAAAGCGAAGTCACCAACAACTCGTGGGACCGCCAAGTCGTCTCTAAAGTCTAATGCCCACTGTTCTTGTGGTAACTGGTAAGCGGACTTTTTCATTGGGAGTGTTTAATTTGAACCATTGACCTGATATCATTTTGATCAAATTGAGATGTATTTTATCTTGATTCAAAAATAATTGAGACAAGATAAGAAAAAGGTTCGGGATGGGACAGGATTCCCAGAATACAGGATTATCATCAAGATATCTCATCCCGTCCCGTCCCGAATATTATATATATTATTTTTTATTTTAAATATATTAATTATATTAATATAATTTATACTCATATTAATTGTATCAATTATAATTTCAATACTTACAAATGTTATTAAAAATTAAAGTTTTTTTATATTGATAATTTTAATGATATGAGGTAAATATGGCAATATCTTTCTTTATAATATATTAATTATATTAATATAATTTATTCTTATATCTATTTGTTTAATTAACTTTTATTTATAACATATTTCTTACTTTATTTTCAAAAAAATAATTAGCTTAG